ACGAAATCTGCACATGGAGGTTCACAAAGTGCTGTGTCTGCCACGCATTCTGCGCATGGAGGTTGCACATGGAGGTTCACAAAGTGCTGTGCCTGCCACGAAATCTGCACATGGAGGTTCACAAAGTGCTGTGCCTGCCACGAAATCTGCAAATGCAGGTTCACGAAGTACTGCGCCTGCCACGCAATCTGCGCATGGAGGTTCACATAGTGCCGCGCCTGCCAAAATACACCTTTGGATGATGACATTTACGTACCAAACAGGGCCGGGACACAACACACTTGGGTTTGACAAGTTGCCTGCGCGGAACTGCTCAGCAGTTCACTGCAAAAGCCAAAGAGAAACATTCCTTCAAAAGGTCTTGGGTTGGAAAACTGTTCTTGCTGGGAAAGTATATTTGCTGTGCCGTGCAAAACTGCCCAGTAGAATCTCATTAGGAAAATCACGGTTAAACTTTCAAACCCACTCCCCCAAAAACAAGAAACAAATAAGTATAAGAGCGACTGAGCAGCTCCTTAGGCTTTACAACTTGCAATTGAGGAAAAACTACTATGGCTTTTGTTTGTTAAAACAGGAAGAAAGGCGCAAACCACTGACAGACCGGCCCCTAGTTACTAGTGGGCCTGGCTATATATTAGGTACTGGCCTAGTTCAAATTGACTGTGACTAGGGGGCTGTGGTGGCCTTGGGCCCTAAGGGTGGGGTGCGGCTGGGGGCGCACTGTGGTCTAAAAATATGTTTAATATTTGGCAAATTAAATGGCAGAGACCGCGCAAACAATCTGAGCCGAATCTGGCTACAGTTGGTGTTTAGCAAGGTAAAAACACACCATATTACGATTTTCCCTGTTGAGCGATATGCGAAAATACGAAAATACGATCTGCCCTGGCCGTCTGGAGTCCAGAAATACGCTGGGCCCACGTGTGCTCACCGCCGGCGTATTTATTTTACGATGGTCCCACGCGTGGACGCCTCCAGCGTATTTTTTTAACGATTCTCTCGAGAAATCATATTCAAAATACGATTTTTCAATGAAATCGTAAAAAAAAATACGCGGTCCAGAAATACGAAAATACGATTGGAACCTGCCTGGGCTGACGAAAAAGTACGATTGTTTCCGAAAATACGATTGGAACCTGACCGGATTTACGAAAATACGTTTGCTGTTGTTGTTGTTGCGAGCATTACGCGCAATCATTGCTGCTGCTGTTGTTGAGAACCACCCCTCAATGTGATCCCGCGATTCGAAAGGCTTGTCGGTTGCGATTCGTTTTGTTCTGCGGTGGGCTGGTGTAGGGTTTGTGTGGAGGCCCACTCATTGATGGCACAATGCTAGGTCCACCACTAGCATATACCAGGCGTCGCGCTTCTCTCAGCAAGGTGCCCAACAAGAGGCCAAAAGCCCCCGAGGTTATATGGCTGGAACATCAACATCTGCACTCCTTTGTATGTGTGCCCAATGACAACCTTGGTTTATGTTTGTTTCCTAGAAAGCCTTACCAAAAAGACACTTCTTTGCTGCTTTGCGTTCCAAAGCGTATTTGTTTTACAATTGTATTTTTCTTGCTAGGTGCTCATTTTGGCAGTTGTATTTTTAATACACTTGTATTTTTCAAAGGAGGTTGTGATTCTTCCAATTGCATGTTTTTTGAATTGTATTTTTTTTAGTAGATGTTCATTTTGGCAGTTGTATTTTAAATACACTTGTATTTTTCGAAGGAGGTTCATGATTTGGTCAAGTGTATGATTTAGGCTTGTGTATTTTTCAATCGTATTTTTTTACCGTCTGGGGCGTACTTTTAATTCATTTACAAGGCTCCAGACTCTACCTGACCGGTGTGGGAGCCTGGATTTGACCAAATGAAAACGGAGGTTTTTGGCAGGTGTCTATTTTCACCCGCATCCTCGATCAATCGAGGTTCTTCCCCAGTTAGCTCATGAGTTGTTCCAGGTCACCCTGGGGAACTGTGACGGGCGGGCCCGACTTCCTGAGAAGTGTGCTCAGGCACTGTCGCGAGCCCTGTTGCTACAGGCTGCGTGGCACAGGCTGCTTCAAGGGGCACCTTGGCACGGGATGTTAGGAGCCACTGGGGCAACTCAAACTGGGACCAAGCATGGCAGGAATTCTTGGGAGGGCAACGCTCAGGCAGTGTTGCAAAGCCTGCCGGTATGTGAACCACAAAGGCTGCCAGTACAAGTGCATCAGGAAGAAGCACGGCTGTGCTCAGGTCCCTCGGCCCATGCCGCTATGCCAAGCGAGGCGGCTGCCGTTATGGGCACCTTGGCACTTGAAGTTTGTGGCGTAGCATGTTATCTATTTCAGTCTATTTTCTTGCGGGTCACATTCGGACGAGGTTCCCCTGCTTCCACCCTGGTTCTTCGAGGCGAAACAATACTCGTACTAGTACCTTGACCCCTGAAACCACCCCAATGTCGTTCATCCGGACGCAGTTTTGTTGCTCATATGCTTGGTAAAACTTTGCCCCGGGCCAGCATGGAACATTTGGAGCCTAGAGTGTGCATTTGGCAGCGCCCCACTGTTGGTGGAAGACATCCATAAATACTGGGCTTGTCCCCAGCGGTGATGGGGAAGGTTGCTGGACGCAGAGAGCCAGACACCGCGCAGAGGGGTGTGTGGCCAGAGTTTGAAGACAGACAGCGCATTCTGGCGCAAAAAAACCTGCTGCAGCTGTGCTTGGGTTTCGGGTGCACGTGCTGCTCCTGTTGCGACACATTTTCGGCTTGAGAGTGCGCCTTATTTGTCCGGAATGTCAGCTGCAGTGTGAAGGCAATAGCTTTTGCGCGGACGTGCTGAGGAACGCGGCTGAACTGGAGGGGGGGCGTTTGGACGCTGTGTGGCGCCCTTTTTCAGCATTGAGAGTCCGAAATCTAGCAGTTTGCATGTGCATGGGCATGTGGTCCTCGAAGGCGTGCAGCAGATGTCAACATTGAGAGATTTGGAACAAGACGGCCCGCGACTAGTAGAGGCATTTCTGCAATTCAAGGAGACCCGAGATGTGGACAGAAGGGCAGAGGGAAAAGGTGGAAGCAACGTGGCGGGATCATCAGGAGGCAGATGATTTGTCGTTATTGCCGGCCTTTGGTGACGTTGTGGATGTGGATGGGGCGACCGAAAGGGAGATGGTGCTGGAAGGGGGCAAGTGGCGTGAGAAGTATTTGGACGATGCGCAGCATGTGCAAGAGATGGGCAGCACTATATTCACCCCAGAGATAAAAACGGAGAGAGGCAGCCAGTGCAGAAAAAGCGAGAACCGGAAGCAGTGCCGGTCAGGCTTTCCAATGGAGTGGCAAATGAGCAATGAGAGCATGGTTGTGTGTGAAGGGGTTGCAGAGCAATTCCAACTGCCTCTGACAGGTAGAAGGAATGCATTGGGAAGCTTGTTGGGGCCGCCTAGTTGCACATGGCTGAATGGAACGCACCCGGCGTTGTTGTCTGTGGGGCGACACAATGCAGACGTGCATTGCCAAAGCCAGCCATGGGCCGCGGTGTGGGAAGGATTGCGTTCAGAGAAGTGACGTCGGGGAGCTGCAGAGAGTAGGGCAAGCTGCGCAGGCAGCGCAGATAGGTTATGCCACAGATCATATCACGAAGAAGCAGGCGAGTTGGTTGCATGTATGAGCGTCGTGAGTTTGAGCAGCCAGGATGGGTGGAGGGCAGTCTGTGGGGCAAGTGAGCCGGCGGCATGCGCAGAGGATAGGGTCACTGTTTTACAGTGTGATGAAAAGTTTCATGCTTTTGTTGCCGACTTTTAATTGGTTTGAAACCTGATGACCAGCCAACCTGTACAGTTACAGTAAAACAACAAAAAAAGATAAATCAAAAGTGTTCATCATCGATAAATATTTAGGTTCTGGAATGGGTGGTATAGCACTGAATACTCTTGAAATTGCTGTATCATTACCAATCATTGTTGCATTTCGTTTGAATAAAGCAATAATATCATCTCCCTTGACTAAAGCACAAGGCCTTTGCTCTGCACTTCACTGGTCAACTGTTCACGTTGGCCATCCGAAAGCTCTGATTGGATGATAAAGAACAAAGCTATGAAATTGTTCGTGGATGGGAGCAAGATCATATGTCGGTCCTGACAGATCTTGTGCCACTTGTCCAAAATGTCCTGGATTCCGGCGGTCTATCTGGAGGTGGCCTACCTGCCGCGGTTGCGGTGTTGCATTCAGCCACCCAATGGTTGTGGCATCTTCGCGTTCATACGCACGGACATCGACTCCTCGAGACGATTGCAAATGCGGGCATGGCTGCCATGGCACTTTGATCGGCGCTTGACCACGGATAGTCCGTAGCATCATCGCCTGACGTGTTCATCACGAGCAGGCTCGGACAACTAATCAAGTGCAGCGTCGCGCGTGAAGCAAGCGGCATCAGTCATGTACATACATAAACGGTGAGACAAGAGACAAGGATTAATCTAAACACAAGATTGCACAAGCAATCTTAACAGGCAACTTTCCACAAGACACGCCTCGCCTCTGCACGTGGCAGAGGGTCGGCGGATTCTACCAAATCAATGCAAAACATTGAAAAACCAATTCCACCCTCCCTGGTCGCATGTCATTAGCCACCTTGGTCGCCCCTGCCTGGCCGCACAGAAACCGCGGGTCCCCCGCTGCGTTTCACGCGGCCGACCGTTTGGTCCAGGACCGACCGTGAGCGGGGGTCACGTCGGAAACGGGTCGGCGCGCGTAGAGCGCCACCTTGGAGGGCGATCCTGGGAGGTCAGTAGACCGGAGCGCCCACGCATGCCCACGCCTCTTTGTGTGTGTGTGTTTTTTCGACCTCAGAAGTGGGTATTTTGGTTTAAGGGCCCCGGGCTCAGGGTCCTCATGAGAGTTAACAGTTGAAACCAAATGGAGAAACAACCGTTTGTTTGTGTACCATGGTGTTGTTTTTGTGTCCTTTCGATCCGCTTTGTCGTATACTCCCCCCACAGACTAGCATAGAAGTCGAAGATAGACCTTTACAAGACTGATCGTGTTCCTTTACAAAACTGATGATTTTGTATATATTGTATTGGTTATTTTGAAGACCTATCTATCATGGGTCTTTTCTCCTTCTGGTCCTTTTTTGCTGCCGAGGCGGCTGCCCAGCGTGTGGCCTTGCAGCAACAGCGCGACCACGTCCGACGACAGCGCGCGAGGATGGCCCGGGCACTGGCAGCACAGCTGAGGCGTGATGGAGTGCCAAGCTGGTTTGAGGTGGATGGATGCGGTCTGGAGGGGAACGGGATGGAAGAGGCGCCTATGTTTGGTACATTTGCTCAAGATCCTCACAAAGTGCCTGGCCCTCTAACTGCACCCCAACATATTCCCGGCGATGTGCGGTAACTCTCACACCTTTAGTCTTCGGATGGTTTAGGATATTTGAAGCATGCCGAAACCTATGCCGTCACCCAGATCACCCAAAGACCCAATGCAAACCTCGCCTCGTGGCCGCGCTCTCTCGGCCACGCTTTTGCCGCCCTCGTGGCAGCGCGAGGTCTCCGCGGGCTCTCTTGATGCTCGGTTTGCATTCAAAAGGCGACCTCACCGGGATCGAGGCGACCTCCGTCGAAGGGTTCGCAACTTGTGGAATTCTGAACCAAGACCCCAATGACCTGCATGAGACCAATACTTTAAACACACAAAAAGAGACATCATACCACCCGTGGGGTGCTCGGGGAGGGTCGGATCTGTGGTTTGTTTCTGGTGTTTTTCTTCGACCATCGGTGAAATCAGTGGGGGGGCTGGGGCATTTTTGAAAAGCCTCGGCTGGATGAGGCTGGTGGTTTCTTCTCGGGGTTTAGAGCGAAAGCTCTCAAGCACTGTCAAGTTGTTCTATCGGAAAGTAACAGATATATATATATATATATGCTAGCCCCCCCTCAAAACCTATGTTTTTGAGTTCATTCTAATAGTGTATTCTTTTTCAATTTAGTTTTAATTTGAATGATATTCTCATTTACTTCTTCTAGAGAAGTGGTGTTACTTTGAATATGAGAGATTTTATGTAGTTTTTCCAATATAGAAGAATGTGCTTTCTTAAATGAATTAAATTCACCACCAGCAACACCCACTCTCTAGAATGACACCAAAACTGAATTAGAAGTCCATGTGCATTGAACTAGAATCAATATAGGATGAAATTAGACATATAGAAACCAAACCTAATTTGCAATGACAATAGTGTAAAATTAGATGTGTAAAACAATTCAATCTGAACCGTATAAAGGCATTAACATTAGAAATTAATTACTAGTAAATTGGAAGAGTCAAAGTTACAATTGAACCCAAAATAGAATGAAATAATAGAACTAAATTAGAAGTACAGTGGACTGGAATTAAATTAGAGTTGAAAGAAACACATTGAATATTAATCCATTACTTAAATTGAAATTGACTTAGAACTAAGGTAGAATTGAATTAGAGTTGTTTTACCTAGAGCTTGGTTAGTAGAACAGTATTGACTTAGAACTAAATTGGAATCTAAGTTCAGTTAGAATTGAACTAGATCTAATTTGCAATCTCAATTTGATTTCAATTATATAAAGTTCAAGTAGGATCATTTTCTATTTAAATTAGAAGCACGTTGCAGATTCAAATTTAGATTTAAGATTGAATTCCATTATATAGATCTAAAATAGCCAAACATAATTAGAATTAAAATAGAAATGAGTAAATTAGAATAAAAACTGAATTAGAATTTGTCTATACAATGAAGTTAAGCTAAATAGACTTAAATTAGAGTTCAATTAGGCTCAGCTTAGGCTTAAAGTAGAACTATGTTACATACTCAAATTAAAGTAGAACTATGTTACATACTCAAATTAGAATCCATTTAAAGTTCAGTTAGACTTCAATTAGACTCAACTTGGAAATTTAAATAGAAATACAAGTGATTTTAAATTGGAATAAGAATTGACTTAGAATTTAGTCAAAATTGTATGTGCACTAAAATTCAGAGAAGTAAATTAGAGTTGAGTTAGTTGTTAATTAGAATTGAATGAGGAACAAATGTCGGTAAAAGTAATATTCCAGGATCAAACTGTACTTAGTGCAATTTTGTCACTACCAGAGAATGCCAGAGAATGCATTCCTGCCCAATACCAAGACCAAGACCAAGATTTGCACAGAAGTCTTGTGGAAAATCTTGGAAATACCAAGACCAAGATCCAAGATTTGGAAAATCTTGGAAATACCAAGACCAAGACCAAGATTTGCACAGAAGTCTTGTGGAAAATCTTGGAAATACCAAGACCAAGATCCAAGATTTGGAAACTCTTGGAAATACCAAGACCAAGACCAAGATTTACACAGAAGTCTTGTGAAAAATCTTGGAATTGGATCTTGGTCTTGGTATTTCCAAGATTTTCCACAGGACTTCTGTGCAAATCTTGGTCTTGGTATTTCCAAGATTTTCCAAATCTTGGATCTTGGTCTTGGTATTTCCAAGATTTTTCACAAGACTTCTGTGCAAATCTTGGTCTTGGTCTTGGTATTTCCAAGATTTTCCAAATCTTGGATCTTGGTCTTGCTATTTCCAAGATTTTCCACAAGACTTCTGTGCAAATCTTGGTCTTGGTCTTGGTATTGGGCAGGAATGCATTCTCTGGCATTCTCTCATTCTGACTGCATTCCTTCCAAAGTGAACAAACAAGTCATGCAACCTACGTGCACAAATATAAATATATATATATACAAATATAGATGGTACCCCCCAAAAAAACAAGGATCAAAAGGCAACCCAAAATAGACACAAAATATTGCAAATACCAGCAAAAGTGATGTGAACATAGGTTTTTTTTTTGGGGGGGTACCATATATATATATATATATATGATATATGGTGTGTTCTTTGAATGCCCCAGCAACTTCTTTCACCTCCACTTCCAAAACTTTTCCAGTTCTTTCAGTGAGCTACCCCATTCCAATGTTTGCATCATGACATCGATCGTTTGGGTCTGTCCTACTACCTACAACTGTCGGCAAAGAATTATCACGTACTATATACTTTCAATTGTGGAGAAAGGCCTGCAACATCCTGCAACCAGGCCCCATCATCATCCACTGTTACAGTGATATCCAGATAGATGATAATGTGATACAGGTACATCTATCCACTGTGATAGATGATAAGTGATCATCATCCACTGTTACATCTATTTGTCACAGGTCGGATAGATCCAATCCATCGTGATATCCAGATAGATGTGTGACCATCGTGCAGTGCTCCATCCTCAGCCATCGAGCTTGAAGACCAGGGCACCCCCCCGGACGCGGCAGCATTTCGGGCACGTTCCCGGGGTGGTCCGCGCGGAACCCGGGTGGCGGCGGTGGGGCGTTCCGTGTCCCTCATGGCGTTCTCTCTAAAGATGGCACCTGGGATCGCAAGCAGGGCGGGTCGGAACTGGCGTTGGGGTGGGCGTGCCAGCATTGCACGTGCGTGTTGGGTGCGGACCAAGCGTCACTTGGCACGTGTGTGCTTTTTTGTTCGGTGGATTTCGCAACATGTTGCCCTTGGATGACGGTAACTAGTAAGTACATGGGAATCGTCTGGGCAAAAAAAGAAAAAAGTAAACCAATTTGGAGTTGACTGGGGAAATTCGAGAGTTGACGGGAGTTTCTTGCGGTTTGACACTGCACACTCTGGACGGTTTGCTCTGCGGTGCCATGGGTCCGACCTTCGACCCGACTGACCAAAGCCGTCGCGCTCGCCTTCGACCCGACTCCCACGTGAACCAGCGAAGCGCGATACGAAATCGTGAGAGACGACCTGAAGAGCAAACCCAAAAGCCAAAGAGTCAGACAACACGGGCTCCAGACAACACGGTGCCCGTGGAGAACGTCCGCGCTTCGAAGATCCACCCTCTGTCAGAAACGGTCAGAAAACGGTCCTGGATTTCCCGCGGCTCCGAAACCCACCCGCCTCCACCCGCCTCCACCGTTTCCCACCACCTCTCGAGCGAAATCGCCGTTCCATGCGGACGGCATCCGCACCACGGCATCCCTGCTGTCCCCCCCCCCTTTCCTCCGGGTCCTCCGTGTTCGGCGAGGCTACGCGGTGGTTGAGGCTGCACCGGTCGTGTAACCTGCGTGGTGTCTTCCGCCTAGGCCCTCAAAGGGGTTCAGGAGGCGGCCTCTCTGTCGGAGCACGCCTTGCGTTGCACCATTGCCGCCTTGGACCACAGCGACGCCAAAGCGGAAGACATCGAGGACGTGGTCGGTTGGTGTTTTACACGGGCACGGTGAACAGACCGTGCGGAGGGGGTGTGGTCTTTTTTCAAGAAAAGCAGCAGTTTCAGGTGTTTGATGTTTCTGGCTGCTTGGTTGGTGGTTTCCAAGTCCATTTCACGCAAAGGTTGAGATGATCAATGCTCATGTCTCAGATTTTCCGGTGGGTTCATGTCAATTCTTCCGGTGGTTGTTTTTGGGAGGTCTCCCCATTTTACTACACGCGCATATCACTGTTAAACCTGTTGATGTTGCGTTCAACCATGAAGTAACTCATTCGCATTCATTGCAGAAACGCTTCTGAAGAGCAAAGTGTTTGTTTGGGTCACAGGCTGAGTGGTTGGGTGTCAGAGTATCAATACAGGTGTTCATAGGTGTCCCCAAAGCAGTTTTGCCCTCATGCTGCTTGCAAGAACCATCCAATGGATGCGTGTGTTCTCCCTGCCCTGGCTCTACAGATCCTCAAAATTGCTGCTTCGCGGGCTTGAAGTCATGGGAGGCAGGGCCCCAGGATCAAAACAGTCCTTTTATATCACCAGAGGTGATTCATATCACCAGTTCAAGACCTGATCCGCTACTCGTAGCATGTTGACTCTGAAGAAAACACGTGTCGGTCGTCCATCACAGGACGTGCCGGTGGTCGGGGATCATCGTTGACCGAAGAAGCAATCAACGAAGGTCAACGACTGCGCTTTTTTGATCCTGGGTTTCTTGAGATGCGCAAAAAAGGGGCCTTTGAACTTGGCCTTATCCCTTCGACAGGGTCTTTGATGTTTCACATATGTTCACTCAAAGAACGAAGTCCTTTCTTCATAGTTAGGTGAAAACCGTCCTCGGCGCAGGAATGCCTTCTGAAGTTCAACCGCTTGCTCAGCAGCCCTCCCAGCACGAAGGCTTTCGTGTCGGACGTCCGTGTCGCTGGCTTTTTCGAGGATTGGAGGGTCCGGGAGGCATGGCACAAATGGATGGTTTAGGGGATTTTGTATGACAACCATCCAGTGCAAAAATTAACCACTCTAGAGGGATAGGATTGAACTATAAATGAATGCTAATCCACTATGTTGTAAAATCCACCGATGGTACAAATGTTGTATAAATATACCAGATCCACCTGCACAACCGCTGTGTGACATCAGCAAGGGACAGGCGCATGCTCGCTCGCAACGTCCGTGCATCAGTACGTATAAGTACGAAAAGAAGGGAGTGTATAAGGGTTCTTTCCACCAGGTTTTGACTGTGGCTCATATCATTTAGCTACATAGTAACTGAACGAGCCTTCGGTTCGTC